CGTACACTATTCTTTCTGTCAGAATTCCATCGCACCTTCGCTTTCTACACCTCCAGGGTCAACCTGAATGCTATAATCTGCATAGTGCTAAATCGATTAGTCAAATCTCTGTTCCTTGTACCAGCATGTATAACCCAGGCTGAAATACACCAGGCTTGCCGGTGCGATCGTTTGTTTTTGCACCAGACTTGAAGTACTCAATTCGTTAACTGCACGAACGATTGCTATTTTATATCTACCCTCTGTGCTCATTAGCGTAAATCACCATTAATTTTTCATAAAATAAACAAACACTTTCTATTAACGGCCGTTCCTTGAAAGTGACCTGGCTGTTTAGTGAGCGATTTCCCGCCAAAACTTTTAAGTATCTATAGATGAGAACAATTCCTGTAGGCCGAATTTGAAATATTTAAAATGTACTTGGACAGGAAACATTCCTCTAAAATTACAGCTTTCTAGCTTTTCTGGTACCCGAATTAGCAATTTTCCTGCCAAAAATGTCACGCGCTCGTACACTAAAACTGCGCTTACCGGGCGCGCATTTTGAAATCTTTAATTTCCGTGTGGACGGGAAACACCCTTAAAATTTCAACCTTCTAGCTTTCCTGGTTAATGGGTTAGCAGTTTTCCCGACGAAATTTTCGCATGCTAGTACGTGAAAACCATGCAAACCTAGGGGCTGAATTTAAAATATTAAGCTCATAGATATGCTTAGAATATCCCTGCAAAGTTTCGGCAGTCTATCTTGTCTGGTTCCAGAGATCGCTTCCATGTCAAAAATTTGCATATTTCTTAAGGCTTCTGTAAGCGGCATCTAGGCGCACGTGGTGGTGATACTGAAACAAGAGGATCGCACACGGTGTAGACATATATTCCCGAGGCTTCAGCCTTCTAGCATTTTTGGTTCTCAAGCTGAAAGTGGGTGACAAAAAGTGCAAACACACAGACACATACATAGATAGCCTATTGCCTATATGCGTTTTCACGTTAAAAATTGCATTAAAAAGGCGCATTAAAGATCGATGTGAGTCTGTCAAATTTGGAGGAAATGATTTTAAGATGTAAATTTTACAGCACAATACGAAGTCTGCGGGACTTATAGAAGATTCGAGTAACAGTTAGTGGGAAACGAGGTGAGGAAGTCTCAGCGAGAGTTCAAGAGGAGTGAAAGGTAGATGAAAACAGTTAGATGAAACTCACATGCTTGTCTTTGTAGCGAATTTCTGATTTTTTAAATTTGCTCTAACATGTCTCATGCCACAATGAGTGCTGCCCCATCCAAAAAACCAGAAAGTGCGGTAAATTTCAAAGCAGTCACATAGAAGGGAATATTACTGGTGGTACTTCTCATTGCAAATATGCTTGTTTGCGTCACATGCTATAGATCTTCATAGGCAATAGTTATTATCAAACGGAACCTGCGAGACTGCCACTGTGTGATAATGAAGTAGTATTTACTCATCGTTAATTGT